TTCATCATAATTTTACAAGTATATTAGTCTATTATTTTAAAATCTGTCATTTATATTTCGAATTATCATACAATAATGCATTAAGTTTCATGAACATTATCGTCTACAGAGCAACAGTTGAGACAACAGTATTTATGCGGTAGAATACAAAATTTGACCAAAATTATATATTAATATACAAATTAGTTGTTAGAATTGACGTTGCTGTGATAAACCAGTGTGTATAAATAAAGTTTAATGTTAAAATTTAGTTGACGCTATACCTAGGTTGCAGTAAATTGTTATAAACATTTCAGCGATAATGATTAAAATGTTTAGGATGTTGATAGTGAAGGAGTTGATGGATCAAAACTGATGACGCCTATGATGATGACGATGACGCAACTGATGATGTTGATGACGTTGATGGTGAAGACGGTGGTGGTGAAAGCAGTAGAAAAGTTACTTTTTATAAAAAATTTATGAGGATTTTATAAAAGAACAATAAACTAAGTTAACAAAATTTTTTTTAGATAAAAATGTCTAAGCTTGCCATAAAAAACACAGAACAAGGAGAAGACGACGATGAAGACAATGATGTCAATAATGATGACAATTATGTTGACGATGATACTGCGTGGTTGGTGACATTAATGATGGTTGTGATGACAATAATGGTGATTATAACATTGGGGAAAAAATACGTACAAGTACATTTATATAGCGCTAATTAAAAACAAAGTTTTTCAAAAGACCTCTCATTAAAGTCAAAAATTTCAAATTTTTCCTACAAGGAAAATAAATTTTTTTTTATAAAATTTTCAAAAATTTTGAAAGATTTGAATTTGAATCACTTAGAAGGACTGATGATGCCAAGAACGGCAGTCAACATTTTTCCAAAAAAAATTTTTTTTGAAATTTTTTATAAATGAACGACGTTTGTTAGATAAGCATGTTCAATGCTAACAATGAAACCCACGCGCGCGCGCGCACACACACACACACACACACACACAACCATACACAACATATTCTTCACTCGTTGTTCCTTATTCATTCATTCAGTCATTTATTCATTCATTTATTCGTTCATTCGTTCATTCATCTGTTTATTCATTTGTTCGCTAGTTCATCTTTTCGTTTTTACTTATTCAAATTTGACTTTTTCTAGTACGTTACGTTCGTGATATTAAGTAATTGTGGGTTGAATTTTAACTGCAGATTTGCAAGTATAACTAACTGCTGATTAAATGTTTTCCTTATTGTATCGTGTTGTATTGTAATGTGTTGTATTGCGTTGTACTATTATGTGTTGTGTTGCATTGTTTTGTATTGAACGAACGAAGAAAGGAATAAATGAATAAATAAAAGAACAAGCGACTGAATGAAGAAATAATTGAATAGATGAACTTCTAATAAAATGCTCACAGAAGCAGTAAAATAAATGGCTAAATAATTGGCGGAGTTGATTTGGGAGGATGGACGAGTTTGGTTGAAGTTTTTAACTTTTAAGCCGCCAGAAGATTAGATTCTTGAGTTTTCTTGCTCGACAGTTGAAGCTCCGCAATGTCATTTAAACTCTAAGTGTGTGGGTGTTTTTGTATGTTTGTGTGTGAGTTTGTGTGTGTGCGTGTGTGTGTAACTGTGTTTATGTGTGTGTTACTGACGTGTATGTGTATGGTTTTATGTCTTTTGTGTTCGTTCAAAAGAACTTACAGCTCCCATCAGACTTAACGCGATTGAATTTTTATAAAAATGTGTTATTTAAAGCATCTAATCACTTTCTTTACATAAAAGCTTAAATTAAACAAAAAATTTACTTAAATTTTTTACAAATTTTTTAAAGGTTTTTTAATTAATTGATTTAAATTTTTTATTTAAAAAAAAGTACCCGCAAAGGAAAAAAATGCTATTTTTAATGTCCACATTAACCAAAGAACATCTAAATTCATGAAAAGATTTAAACAAATAAACAAAAAAATTACCAGAAGTCATAATAAAATGAAAAAAATACATAAATAGATTAAAAATCAGACAGGGAAATTGCCTATAAATAATAAAATATCTAGATCCAATAATTAAAGCCGTAAATATAGCAAGCATTAAAAGGTAACGCACCAAAGCAGCAATAATTAAGTGGCATAAAAATACAAAAAAAACACGACTAGATCACTACAGTATTTTTTATGAGAAGAACCATTAAGTGACTCTTAAATTTCAACACATCTCCTAGAAAAATTCACTCAAACTGATTATGTCAAACTTGAAATTAAAAAAAAACATATCTCTGACTGTCTGATTATGATGTCTGTCTGCCTTGACTTGTTGACAAACACAGTTTTTGCCGATGTTTATGAAGGGCTTTTTGCTTCAAGCCGTACTTGACTTTGTATTTTTTCATGTTCAACAAGTTGTTTGAGTTTCTTTAAAGTTGATTGAGTTGAAAGTTAGGAGGAGTTTTTTAATGAGCCTTCTTCTTCAAGTTCAATTTTTTTAAATTATTTTATATTTTTACTAATTCATTGTAGAAACATTACATAAACAAAAAATTAAAATTTTGTTAGTGAAAGAATACAAAATAAAAACTTCTTTCTTTGTTTGCTGCTTTATTCAGTGCAACCTGTTATAACCATTCATTCTAATATTATTACTTTCGTTTTTTATTTTATTCTACATATTTTTCTTTCTTTTTCAATTTTGTTTTACATTTATCTCACTGGTAAAACAAATTCATTCATTGCAAAAAAGGAGTTACCTCATTCAAGAGTTGTGGTGGATTAGGATCATCAGCAATAAATTTCTTAACAATCCACACTTTATTCGCGCCATCAATCGCTTAGCTCATCATATTGTCTACATCAGCACTCGCATCATTATATCATATACATAATCAATCACATTACGATTTACATCATCTCACGCATCATATCAATTCATATTTAATTCATAACCCTCAACATTTTTATCTTATCCTCGTAAAAACCCACTTAAATTATTCGCATAATTCATTCTTTCTGTCATCGTCATCATCATCATTAAAATTTATAATCACCAACATCACATCATTCCATTACCATATAAACTTACTACCATCATGTTTTTGTCTGATGGCCGCGTGCGTGCGTGAGTACGTTTTCGTGTTCCAGCGAATTCTCAAGCCGACAACAATTTCAATGAATTTTCATTTCAATTTTTAGAAAGCGGATTTAGAAAGCTTTAAACGAGGGAATGAACTTAATGCTTATTGGGTTATATGGCGATTAACAAAGTTTTATATACACGCATACTCCAACACACACAAGCACACATACACACACACACACACACACGTACTATACACACACACACACACACGCACACACAAACAAACGCAACGTCTAACCCACATTCATATATGCAATCATGTATACAATCACATGAATAAATAAACGATAAATAATAAATCGAAGATCTATTTTGAGAAAGCAATACAAAAATGCGCAATGCATCTAATACTAGCTAAAATTATCGCAGGCAAATTTACGACACTCTATAATGGAAGGAATGCGTGCTCGTTATTAACAAAGCTTGCTTATTTATATCTTAAATAGGCCTTTGTCTCATATTCATTGGACACTTACATGTTGTATTTCTTTATAAACATTTTAGAAAAAAAATGTGAAAACTTCAATTATATTTTGCTTGTTTTTACAAATGTTTCACGTTGAACTGTAAAAAATCTTCAAAGTATAGGTGCATAAGTTTAGAACTGAGATAATATATAACTGGTGTTATTTTTGTCTGTTATTTATAGTATTCACTATAAATTTTCTAAAAAATTATAGTTAATAGAGAAAAGATTTTTGTAGTGGTGAGTGGTTATTACATTTCATTCAAGATTTAAATTCCTCTTATGCATTATTAAAAATGAAATAAAAATAGAAAAACAGAAACATTTAAACACATTTATAGCAACAGGGATCGTTGATTCATTAGTTTGCGTGCATTTCAACTCATACATTAGAGCTAAAATGCAATGACAGATGGAGACTACTCCACTTATTTATCTTTCCGCACGAATTAGTGAGCCTAGGAAACACTCCTTAATTAAAAATTTTTTATTTACCTACAGCTGATCATCTTGTACCATTTATGTTCGCTTGCTTAGACTTGCTTACCTCATTTAGTTGCAATAAAACGACAACATCAATAGTAGTAGCAATAGTAGTACTATTATATTAGTATTAGTATTAGTCGTTGTAGTTGTTGTTATCGTTGTAGTAGTAGTAGTAGTAGTTGTTGTAGTAGTTGTAGTAGTAGTAGTAGTTGTTGTTGTAGTAGTAGTTGTAGTAGTTGTTGTAGTAGTAGTAGTAAAAGTATTAGTATGAATAGTAGTAGTAGTTGTAGTAGTAGTGGTGGTGGTGGTAGTAGTAGTAATAGCAGTAGCACTAGCAACTGCAAAACCAGCAATTGATTTTGTTGTAGTACTGGTTTAGTTACTGTCAATAGTTATTAATTCCGGTAGAATAGATTAATAGTAGTCAGAGTCGTAAAAGCAGTAGTAGTAGCAGTATTAATAAAGAAACTAGCGATAATGAGAAAAATTAATAACTAAAATAAATTATATTTTTGTGCACATAAAAAATTATAATGTGTAATTTTTACATACAGTTGTCTAACTAGAAAAAGAATGTGTGCATTTTGCTCATAGCGAGACAATTATTTTGTTTTTGTGCTTAGATAATGCTTTCATGGCTGATTGAGTAATACCTGTTAGGACTTATTCACTGGGTTATTAGTTTTTTTTTAAATGTTTAATTTGTTCAATGGCCAGTCTGCTCGTTCAAGCGTGCAAATATTTATGTTATAATTCAATTTCAATTTTCCAGCTTAACGAGCATTACATTTTATTAATATAGAAATATAAAATTAAACGCGATTTTTTAGAAAATCACATAAAAGTCGTGAAAAAATTTTCTCCCAGCAGCAGAGCATTTTTGAAATGAAGCATCGACTTGAAAAAAACAATTGAGCGAGTCAACAAACCTGAGTGAGGCTTGCAAAAACAGCAGTAGTCCATGCAGTGATTAGCATTATTTTACCCCTTTCGTCTGCAGTTCCAGTCGACAAGGGCTTGGCCACTGCGAAATATCTGTCGAAACTGATGGCAACCAGTATGAAAGATGAGAGGTAGAATCCAAATGCTCTACAAAACATGAGGATCTTGCAGGCAGCGTCTCCGGCATTCCAGCTGATAGTTACGGCCCAGGCGATTTCGATTGGATTGTTGTAGAGGGCAACAAAAATATCTGCAATGGCGAGGTTGAGGATGAACCATTCCACTCTGGTTCGACGTTGACGTTTCTTGCAGAGTGTCAGGGTGATGATGACAGTTAGGTTACCTGGAATTGAAATGTTGGTTGGTCGGTCGGTTGGTTGGTTTTTTGGTTGTTTGGTTGGTTGTTGATTGTTTGGTTGGTTAGTTGGCTGGTTGGTTGGTCGGTCGGTCGGTTGGTTTGTTGGTCGGTCGGTTGGTTTGTTGGTCGGTTGGTTGGTTGGTTGCTCGGTCAGTCGATAGGTCAATGATGAAAAAATGTGTCAAAAATTGTTTAATACAAAAATGATGTATTCAAAGAACAAAAGCAATCATTCAAAATGGTTAAATTAAAAAACACACAAGTGCTTCTGAGACCGCAGCCATGAGAATAAATTTAAATCATAAATGACTTCGGAATAAATTTAAATTATAAACAACTTCAAGGAAAAAACGATATACTCAAATAAAACACCAACATAATTTTAATACTTCTTCTAGAAACAAAATATAAAAAAAACAATTTTAATAATAATTTTTATAACTTTCATGAAACCAAAATCAAATTTGACCTTAGAAAAAAAATAGATAGCAAGAGAGAGGCTTGATGAAAAGCCTAAAAGCATCTTATCATGGAATGTCAGTACACAAAAGGTGGTCTTTACCGCAAATAAATCAATAGACGTCGAAAGAATACCATTACTAAAAAAATCTTACTTAAATCTTCATTTGGTTATTTGCACTCGCCACCAAAATCACCAAAAAATATGAAATAAAAAATTCTCAAAGAGAAGACAGAGCAAAAACTCATAAAACAAACGCAAACACAAATGCATTAGTGTAATGTGTAACTGATAGTGTTTCTTTGTTTTTAGTTTTTTTGTTTATGATAGTTGCTCATGGAACTGTTTCAGATGCAAACACAATTTTTTATATAGATACTTAATTTCACGTACACTGATTTAAACCTAAATACATTTCGCTAAGTGTATTTGTCAAATGCTGTGCCTTTAAACCATTGCACAACCAAAAATTGAAAAAATTTTTTGTAAAATGTTAGTTTATTAGATTCTTGTAGTTTTAGCTGTAGGTTCTGTTAAACGAAAATTTAAACAAAATCCCATAAAAATCACTTTCCATTGCTTAATGATTGATAACATCAAAATCAACTCGACAGTTTCTTTATCAAAAAATATGTAAACTTTACAAAGTTAAATCGCCACAATTTTATGCGAACAAACTAAAAATGTATATATATATATATATATATATATATATAATAAATTTAACTGACAGATTTTATAAATCAAGAATAAAAAAGTAAAATTATGAAGACGACGACGACCCAGACACAAACATGCACTGCACATAGCACTTAACGAAATAGATACGGACAGTCTGCGTGCGAGAAAAGCAGTGCGTGCAACGCATGTTTGTTCCTGTCTGAAAAATTTTTACTCACATGACAAATGTTAGGAAATATAAAGGTGAAAGAAAGTGTAGAAATTAATAGTCACGTTCTAATGAAGGCCTTTGTGATCTTGGCTGATTGTCAATGCGTTTTTAATACGGCCATAAGTCTCTGTGAACTGTTGGCATTCTTATTTTTATATATATACAGTTTCTACTTATTTGGTTGGGCAAAAATTATCAATAACAAATGCATATAAGCCGCAACGCATGGACATTTGAGAATCAATAAAACAACATATGATAATTCTCAAATGTACAGAGTGAAACATTTCAAAACAACAACGTACAACTTTCATTCCATTTGTCATGTCATGACACAAAAATATCAAACTACGTTCTCATCTTCGTCGTCGTCGTCATTAGAATCATCCTTAAGGTTGCAAGATGGCGTAAGAGTTAAAGGTGCCTGATTTCGCTTGGAATCATCTGCATAAGTATAAACACTGCCCTCTTCCTTCATCAACATAGACCTACACACACACACTTGTGTGTATATACACCGGCAAGACGTATTTATAATTCCAGAGCAAACATGTGCAAGCTTCATTTCCAGAACAATCCTAGCAAGCACGCCATCTTTTATATGTAAATAATTAACAGAGCGTAGACCTTTAAATCTATGTCAATTGATTGCATCTTTTTTTTAGGGACTGCAAAGTAATATCTAAACGATGAGGTCTTTGAACAAATAACATATGGGTTAATTGGGTGGTTGAATGGTGATTTATGTTTTGTTTTTGTTTTTCATTACGCGGCTCTGATACATGCCGTATCGCTTGCATTTTATTTTAGAATTGTATTTCAACATCCGTGCTACAGCCGCTCCAATGTATGCACACTTAAGTACAGTGTTATTCACGCCAACGCATGATCTGTGATATCTAGTATGATTAAAAACATAAAGATTAAGATTAAGAGAAAGAGAAAATTTTCATAAATATAAAACAATGTAATAAAAAGCGGGTTTAGCGAGAAGGTGCATTTACTTGAGAAATGCATGAATTTCAAATGATCCTATATATGAAAATATATTTGAAAAGTAAAACCCAAACACATATTCAGACATACAAACACACACACACAAACAATCCAACAAACACACACACACACACAAACAATCAACCACAACAAAACAGACAAGCGAAATAATATGTAATTAATCAACAGTTAGATAGATTGCAGAGTGAGCTGGACAGCCCACCAAACCACCAACATCGGGCTCTTTTCTTCATTTGTAATGACTCTACAGACTGTATTGTTCCCGTGATTTAATGCCCACTTCAACATTTACAACAGTATGTTCTAGTCAGGGAAAAATAATTCGTTTCCCATTTTGAAATTTTTTTTTTTGAGTTATTTATAGCAGAAAAGAAGGAATTATTAATTGCTAAATAAAACTTTTACATATTTTTGTTTCCGTAGCATTTCTTTCATCACACTTATATAACGTTTAACCCATTTTTCTCATCTATTTATTCTTTCAAATAATTATTATTACTATTTAAATGATTTTCATATAAATTCTCTCGCCTTAAATACGCGCCAACACTGATAAATAACTAGATGAATGGCAAATCTACTCATATCATGAGCGTGATCAAACTTTATTGGCTATTATTATTATTATTTTATTTATTATTATTTTATTTTATTTATTATTATTTTATTTTATTTATTATTATTGTTGTTGTTGTTATTATTATCATTATAATGCGCCTTATTCAGTTCACTGTTTTTATTCATAAATTTCGATTTTAATGCTTTAAAATCAATTTTAAAATAGGTTAGCTTGGTTCGTTAAACTGTAAGGCGATATTTTCGAGTATCTCATTTCATTGATGCATACTAAATTTCTCCGCTAAGCTACGTTAAATTATTATTTTATTTAATTCTATTTGCTTCACTAAACTTCGCAACAGTTTAATTAATTCTTCCATATCGGCATCAGGCGCTATTTAATTGGATAGTGACTCAATATAAACTCAACATTAATGTCGATTTTATTTCTCCTTCTGCCCATTCGAAATGTATGACGAGTAGGTTTTATAGATTACTCAACATTTTAACACACGCACGCACGCACGTACGCACGCACGTACGCACGCACACATTCACACACACGTCCACAAATTCATTTAACACTACAGATAAAATCAACATTGATGACAACACATAAAAGTTTTGTTGAACCGGAGCGAAAGAAGTCAGATGTTTTTGCGTGGTGCGTTTACGGTACATTCAGCGTAGTTTGTTGTTAGGTTGTTAAGCATTAAACAGATGGTTATTGATTGGGGTACTTTGTTAATAATAGTCGTTATGTCATTACATTAGTGGTGTGCTGTGTTTGTTTGTTTAGATGTGTGTTTTGCGTGTGTGTGTTTTGTGTGTGTGTGTGTTTTGTGTGTGTGTGTTTTGTGTGTGTGTGCGTCAGTTGGCTTTAGTATGTTTGACACACCAGAGAAGATGTTGTTTGCAAAAAAGCATTTTGTTCGTGTTGTGTACATATTGACAGAGATAATCAAATGAACGGTCGGTTTTCAGTTTCCAACTGTTTAAACAATAAAAAAATAATCAATTGTTTCACCCAAGATAGAAAAAATTATTTTATAAAGAATAAATATGGAGTTTTATAAATTATGGAACACTAACTATCTTCACACTCAATATACTCGATAGACTGATGAGTTGGCAAGCATAAATTCGTGATGATATATAAATTTTCTCAATATAAAATATTTCTTTCGCAAATATTTAATAAAAATTTATTAAACAGATTCTACGAGTGGGCACGCACATTCTAATGAAGAAAATTTTGATAAATGTATTCGAGCAGGATATTTTATTTATTTTCTCAATTATTTTTGTATGCTTAAATGGTTGGGATAATGGCATTTGTTTGTTTGTTTGTTTGTGCGTGTGTGTGTGTGTGTATGTGTGTGTGTGTGTATGTGTGTGTGTGTGTGTGTGTGTGGTGTGTGTGTGTGTGTATTTTTGTATACGGGTGGGTGGCATGATGGCCCAGTGGTTAAGGTCACCCGGTGCAGTTTCGCAGTGTCCGGGTTCGACTACGACAAAAAGATCTCCACCTATCACATGCATTGTGTGTGATGTTTGTTTGTCTGTGTTTGTGTAATGGCACGCCCAGACGAAAGGCTAATGATTGGTTTGGTAAGGGGATAAAAAAAATGAAAAATACACACAAAAAAAGAATTTGTTTGTTGGTAAGAAATATATATTTTTGGATTTTACATAGAA